GAAACATGATACCCTGTGAAATATTTTCACTCAACTCTCCCGGGAAATTTACCTACGGTGCTACCGAAAAATGACATGTTTGCACAAGTCATTTTTTACCGATTTTTTACATTACTGATTTTTTACTAAAACTTGGTGCACAAAAGAATAAGGTTGCTCATTTGAGAACAAAATGACAAGTTATAAATCGTGGGATACCTTCTAGATTTCATGACAATGTTCGTCAAGTAGACCTTGGTAAGAATCAAGAAAGGTGAATAGGGGACTCTTGTTCGTGTATGTTGTAGATGTATAGTCATCCCTAGCACTGGGTCCAGTATTTAATATAGGGAGTGTTAAGGGGTTGCATGACTACTGATTAGTATTAAAGTTCATTGCTTCAGAAAATCTAGAGAAGTGACTGTTCCATTAAGTGCACATTACATTAATTGATAATCAGAAAAATCTAGGTTATCTTTGAACATGTTCCTTTATAATTGGTAATATGAAGATCTAGGATTAATTGATGATGTTCAACCTTCAAACCAAACGAATGCCATATTAATAGCACTGGCAGATCAAATTCTGAAAAATAAAGAGTTAGAAAAAATAAAGGGAGCGTATTAACTTATTTTGGGTTTCCCGGTTATTTTTAACCTTGACTAATTGATAAAATGAATATGGGTTTTATTCCTCGGGAAATATTATATTGACATTGGGCAATATGATATTGACCGAGGGAGCGCAAACAATGTGCATTTATTAATGTAATGTTTGCATTATCCAAATGTAACATTTTAGAGTTATGGAATAAAGAGGTTATTTCTGGTCGGGATTGAATATGGGTTTTATTCCTCGGAAAATATGATATTGACCTTGGGCAATATCATATTGTCCCTCGGAATAAAACCCATATTCAATCCTTCCCAGTAAATAACCTATATGTATTTCATACTTGAGTGGGTTTGGGGTAGATATCACCCGGGAATATATATCATATCTGAGGAGCGGGCAGGATATATTGTATATGTCCCGCTCTAGGCCAAATGCGGGCAGATATAATATATCCATCCCGCTCCCGGGAATTTTTTCAAAAGTTTAAAAAAGTTTTAAAATTTTAAAAATTTTAATTTCAGAAGTTTAAAATTTTTCCAAAAGTTTAAATGTTACAATTCTATTGTATTGAATTAAAGGAATATTATGAAAATGTTAAATATAAATTGTGCTTTTACAGTATAGGCCTATCTTGTCATTTGAAAAAGATGGTAAAGGTCTGAGATACACCAGTTATGTACGGTTGGTTTTGGATACAGTGTTTATCCCGCGGGAAATATGTGTATCTCCCTCGGTCCCTGCGGTCCCTCGTGAGATACACATATTTCCCTTGGGATAAACCCTGTATCCAAAACCTCCCAGTACATAACCCTTATATATCTCAGACCTTATTTGAATAATATAAGGAATACAGAAAAGGTTATTTTTACTCTTGAAATAATTTGATTCGGGCCTAAAAAAGAGCTTCTTCTTATCCAGCTGCCTAATCAGAACTGCAGTCACAGAAGTGAATGACTTCATAAGTACTATTAAGTAGCTGGCATTAAAATCATATTCACACTCTTGAAAGATCATGGTCACTACTTTTGAGGTTGTTAAGATATTAGATAGTTTACCACTGTATTTCACAACCTAAACGCGAACGTTATTTGTGCAATGCACTTGTATGGGCGATTGGTCATACGTATAGGTTGGCGTTTCGATCTTATGCAAGCTTAAACTCCCTATTATCAGCATTAAAATTATATTTATTTGTCCTATTCAGAGAGTTGTAATTAGAACTAGGCTCCTAGTCACAGGGTAGGTTATTTTATTCAGGGTTGGTTGAATAGAACTCATTGTGAGGGATGGTATTGTAGAATAAATGGTTTATTCCATTTGCATGCAGCTGTCAATGTGGATTATGGAAAAGCATAAGTTGATTGCTCTATTGTTTAATGACAATGATGATAGAGTCACACACTATTCTGACTTAGAGATGAAGTTTGTTGGAAAGCCAATTGAAGCATCATTACAACTGAATTACTCTAAAGCCTCATTTACACTGAGTTCTGTTGAGTCCAATGACAATGAAATCCCCTCTGACCGTGTGATGTCATCTATGAAGGCCTCAGTTACCATGGAAGTATCACGTGATCAGATTTTAACAAACTAGACCGATGAAGACTGGTGAAAGAATGAAACTGCTCATTCCTCAAAAAGAATGGTGGTCTCCATTGGACGATATGACCATGGCGAAGATTCCAAGGAATTCTATAATCGATGTCGGCAGAGCTTAACTATTTGGGACAATAACACCTTCCGACATCGATCTTTTGCATTGGTCCCTTATTTCTCATCAATATAAATGAAGATGTATGGAATATGCTAATCAAAAATTCTATTTTTAATAAAAATTCATTGTGGCCATTTTAAAATTCAGTGGCCATGTTAAAAATTTCTTCTTGACGAGTTGTCTTATGTACTTAAGTCCCAAGGCATTGAAAAATAGAATTTGAACCAAATCTGTCAAATGGTATTTGAGTTATCAAAGATTACATTTTTTAGAAAGATTAGCTGTTCTGTGACTTATATAGAAACATTTTAATATTCTTCTAAAATTATGGTTTGGTAGGTTTTGAATTTTTACTTCCAATCAGTTTGCATGATTCAATTATTATATTGATTATACCAAAAATACATTCCAAAAGCTGAAAGTTAAGGAAACTGTTTTAAATAGTCTTTAATATTCTCTTATATTTTATTCTTTACTCATTTAATGGTAAAATAATATCATCTGATCATCTTGACATTAGTTTACTTAATCTAAAAGTGAAGAAATTATTGATTAAGATAATGTACAATATCCAGTTGTATAGGTACATAGTTACATAGATATCAAACAATGGTTGATTTATATTCATTAAGCGAACATATAATTTTGTTTTCTTTAATGCCAATCTGGAAACACATGATAGCAAGCAGCCAAACATCCCCCTCCTCTCCAAGAAGAGGATTGAAGTAAGTTAGACCTCACACATACCAGAACATAAAATCATTTGAGCACTTTTACATATCACAAGAATTATAACGATTGATCTGACTTCAGCAGTATTTGTCTAAAAGGCACAAACTGATAAACGTAAATCATCCTACAGCTTTAAGATTTCAGCACCTAAACACAATTTTTGTTGCTATGGTAAAGTGAAGTTTCTGTCTTATATGGAAGGATAGACATGTAACGTTACAAGTGCATTAAGCAGATCTGAAAGTTTTCAGAAATTTTAGTACAAAACATCAACATTTATATCTAAAATAAATATAAAAATATGTTATAAAGTGTAATTTCTTTCTAAGTATGTTTTACAACATTGGGTTTGCATACATTGAATGGAATATCTGCAATAAATCATGTAACTCATCCTCAAATGTATCATATAACTGATACCTACAAAGTGATTTATGTATAATTGATGTCATAAATGATCACTAATCAATATTTATTATATATCATTGGCATCATGCACCATATACAGAAATAAATGTCCATTATTACTTCATTCTCTACCTTATTATATTTCATTTAATAGTGTAACAATGGTCATTTTTAAATGGATGATAACAAATAATTATGAGTGGTCTACACTTTCACATGCATTCTATCCACATAAGAGGATATTGTGCTGTACCAAGTAGAAGCATACCATGCAACAACTGGAAGAATTGTTCTATTATTAGATCTGATAAAGAATACAATTTAACATGTATCTTATCTCGACTTGCAGCATAGATAATATAACTCTCATAAGTAGTATAATAATATAGACATCATCATGTATTGGGTGCTGAATTAAGATGAAATCTAAAAAGTTGATTCTGAACATTTGAATATAAAACTTAAAGAAGGTCTCTCAAGATAAACCCTTCAGCCATACTCAACCTTATCCTATCCCTTAGAGATTTGATCTTTGAAATTGCATTATCAATAAACTATTTCTAAACTAAAAAATGATCAGCACTGAATAACTTTCATTAAAAATATTATGCCTGGGAAAGTCTGTATTTATGATTGAATAAGTGAATACTGATTCTTTTGATATGTAGCACACTATTTTCTATTTGCAAAAAAATCATTGAATAACATCTTTGTTCAGTTGATATTGGGCACTTATGGTGTTTCAAATTTTTTAACAAAAATGAATAAAACATCAAAGCATGTGAACTCGATGACATTGGAGGGCAATATGGGTATCTATCACACTGTGTGTAAATACAGGATATTAAACAAATACTGGATGATCAGGATCTGGATATGGCAGAATACCTATTCGAGAAAAAAATATTGGGCTCGGCTCCTGCCTCGCCCAATATTTTTTCGAGGATAGGTATTCTGGCCATATCCAGCTCCTGATCATCCAGTATTTGTTTTATTATGAGTGTGCTATGATGTACCGTCTACCTATATACCGTACGAAAAAGCATTGTTTTTTCCCGAGATCCAATTTACATTTATTTGAGGTGTTCTTGCACATTTATGCATAATGTTTGAATGATAAGTGTAAATTTGTTTGATTAAGTACACTTTTTCTTTTGTTTGCCACCAGTTTCTGATGTTAGCTTTAAGTAGTACTCGAGCTATTGATAAATGAAACTCATAGTGGGGAATGTTGCAAATACATTAAAAAAATATCCGACCCTAAAGGGTCAGATATTGAAATAAAAATATCTGGCAGTTTTCAGAAAAGAGCAGAGTATTGCCAAATTACAAGCAGCTTAGAACCAATCATATTGCAGTATCTAAAGGTGCATAATAAAAAAAATTATTAGTCAATCCAAAATCCAAGATCAAATCCCTTCAAGATTCCAATTGAGATGAGAATATACATACACATACTGAGATATTATATTTGATAGAATTCCCACTTTCAAAATCAACCACTTAGTACTACAAAGGTGAGGTAAGAATGTTTATAAAATAGTTTACATACCCCCTCCATGGTATCATCGATGATATAAACACTACAGCGTTCACATTTTAACAAGTCTTGTGATTCAAGCATGATCTTCTGGACCAGATTGTCAAGATTCGACTGTTCCTCAAAAATACTCCGAGCCATTTTCAACAGCATCTACATGTAAATCAACAAGATACTAAGGTAAGTAACAGTGAATTTTATTTCTACATATTTGAACAGGCGTAATTGAGATTTGAACAGGCGTTTTCGCCACCCGCCTGTGCTTATTGAAACCCCTGTAAATTGTATGAAAAAAAGGTATTCCAAGGACATTTTTTAAAACAGCTTGAAGAACTCTAAAGGCAAACTAAAAAACAATGAATGTACATGTACTATCATTGGTGTATTTGAGATCAGAATAACAAGATAATAGAATTGAGCTTCTTTAATTTTAAAAGATGCATTTAACATTATGTACAATGTACATGTATTTGTCAATCATTCAAGGCGCAGAGTGATTATTTCCGCGAACTCCTCATAGTTTATCATTGCTTTTGTATTTTCTAAACCATATGCAAAGTAAAAGCAAACACTCCCTAAATAAAGGTATTTCATAAACTAATAAGTAGGTTTAGGTTAGAATTTGATTGTTTCAAGAACTGAACAATAATATATATTGAGTTTGCCTATCACCAAATGTGTTGATTTTGGAGAAACAAGGCACATAACGTGAACGAGATCACACCATTGAAAAACCTTCAAAGTGGCTGCCAGAAAACAAGAGGGCTACCCAAAAGTTAATCAGCTCTAGAACTTGATATCCTGCGTGCCAACTTGGAGAATATCTGATGAGCAGTTTTCCTGAAATCGTGATGACCGATGGTGTGATAAAAAATCAGCTAGCTATTTAGAAAAATATGTTATTATGACTGTATTAATGGGCTTTCTTGAATGCTAGCTTTAGAAAACCCATGTGAATATCAATATAGCATTCAAAAGTACAATACGACAGAAACTTTGATACACTTCACTTTTCTTTGCATCTATTTTATGCCTTGGTAAGTTGCAACTTAGAATTGCAATGTAAGATAAATCAAGACATTTTAATCCAAATGAGACAAGGCACGGTTGAACAATTGCGGTCAATTTTTTGATTAAACTAAATCATACCTGGTTTCTTTTATATTCAAGCACAGACATTTCAAATAGCTGTGCATTAGTCAGGCCGATCCCACAGAATGTTAAATAGTTTTTGAAGACCTGAAAGCAAAAAACATTTGATGTTTAATGTTTACAATTTTGGTTTTCAACATAATCATAATATACCTGGCTATTGCATTACATGGTGCAAATACCTGGGTATTGTATTATTCAATTATAACGTCATAAATAGTATAACTGTATACTTCCACTTTAAATGTAATCTTGATAAAGCTGGTAGGATAACTGGCCAAACGACGAAATTAAATCATTATTCTCTGAAGTAAATGAACTTGAGTTATTCAATCATAATATTGTTTTGACATTGAATAATTTTTATCTTAGTTGAAAATAAGTTTTTATCATGCTCTAAATATTGATGTACCATTGGATTCAATGGGAACTAATATTTTAAAATACTTTTTTCTCTTGACCACTTTTCTCCGCTTATAAGTTATTTTTAACACAAAATAGGTTAGAATGTATGTTACAAGAATGGTCTAAATTAAGTGCTTCAAAATCAACTTTTTGAAATTAAATTGAAAAGTTTGACATAACACATTTTGATAACATTGGGAAAGACTTTAATATCAGTCAAAGAGGTTTAAACTTTATATGGGGCTTTAATGAATCTGGTTAACAGATTAGGTCTGTATGTCCATCATGCAGACATTTACATAAAAATAGTTAATAATAAACATTAAAATATTTAATAATCATGTTTTAACCTATCACACATGTAAGTTGATACAGATCAATGTTTAGAAAATAAGAAATAGATCCATGAGCAATTAACACTTCATAGTGAGAAGGATCAATAAATGTTTCAGCAATCAAGTGAACTGTGTGTCTGTCTACATATACATACATGTATTTCTTTAATTATCACAAACTAGAGAAAGCAACATTTTGATTAGAGATGGTGAATTCTATATTCAGGATGATGAACCAAACATTACAATTATATGTATTTAATTTTCTTTCCTATATTGTATATGATTGTCCATAAGCACTGTTTAGTTTGTGTCTGTATTCAAATATTTTGTAATAATTAGACCAAAATTAATTGTTTACACATCTAGAATACATCAATATATAATATGGAAATACCAACAAAATCACTGCTCTGTTAATCAATTCAATGTATCCTAGAATGTAACCGATAAACATGCAATCACTCATATAATCCTTTGAATCAAGACTTACCTCAATATCATCATCATTAAATTGATGATTTCCATTGGTTTTGTTGATAATTTGTGCAACACCTATCACATCTCCGTCATGGTTACAAATAGGCATGCAAAGGACACTGTGCGTTCTGTACCCAGTTTTTTTGTCCACTTCTTTGTTAAATCTTGGGTCCTGAAATAATATTATGATCTTAATGGAACATATTACAACCTAGCTAAGTTTAGATAGAGCAATTAAGAGTGAAGATACTTTAAAAATTCGATAAATCATAACACAGTGCATGAAATAAGGATTTTTTTAACCTAGACATTTTGGCAGGCCTGCCAGATTTTAACAAGCCATATCATTTTTTCTCAGGCCAATTTTTGGCAGGCTGTTTCTTCCTTCTCTGGCCAAAAATTTCACTTACCATATTTCTCCACAACCACTCTAAATTGAGATTTAGTTTAGTACAATATTAACAAAGATAAAACTAATTGCATATTGCATGTCATGTATCATTCACTATACTGTACTTACTCCCGTCGAGAGCTACTTAGATTTTTTAAAGTATAGCTCTCTATCGCTAGAATCAACAGCTTAAGAATCCTGACTTCAAAGAAAATTTCAGGGAATTCAGCTGACTCATGTTGCACATTATATACCTGAAAATGTATCCTACATCGCCATCTTTCATTCAGCTCAACTATAGAACGTCTCACTGCCCTATGTATCGATCAGGACTTCATTTTATTGGTCGTGTCAAAAGTTTTGGCCAGGTATATTCAATATGGCGGCTTGACGTTTCCCAAGTTGCGCATGCGTCGATAGTATTTCCGTTTAACCGCCATATTGGAAATGGGTATCGAACAAAACACGATTAGAACTCCTGATCGCCATAGAAGCACATCCGCGATCCTTCATGCACGGGGAAACTAGACACATATGAGCCCATATGTAGGCTACAGTTTGAGACAAACAGCAAGCCGTTGACTGGCGCTGATCAAATTTAGATGTCACAATTCTTCAGCTAGGTACGAAAATTTCCAATGAACATGCGTGACATATACGGGATTCGCGTGACAAATCCGAACAAATTGCGTTCGGTTTTATTCCGACGTTCGTATTTTTACCGTATCGTAAACATATTTCGCAAAAATTTCTACAGAAATAGTTTTGCGTGACAATTACCAGGTAAAATGCGTATTTGCGTGACATTTTCTGTCACGCAAAAAAAACTGGCGTGACTTCAAATTCTTCAGCAAATGCGTGACAAATACGCAAATTGCGGGACAGTTGACAGGCCTGATGTACATATTGATCAAACTAAATTGTACTGATTTTGGTCGGTTTAGAATTGCTCAGAAATCAGAAGCTTCAAGGTATTCAAAAACACATATTATGTACACAGACTCCACTAAAATTCAAGGTATATATTATTGGTGTCACGGTCCAAAAAATTCGGTACGGTTTGGATCGGTACAAATGGTCTCGGGATACGGTACTTTCGGGACGGGACGGGACAGACAGAACACTAAAAATGATACAATCGTCTGATGATGACAGTTTCACTTTCAGTTTCACTTTTCAAAATCACATTCAGAAATACGTCAATTAAATCAAATATAAAGCATCTGCCGCGAATGTGATCGGCATTTCACATAGTCTGCATGGTGTACTATCACCAATTCGTTTACCTTGTGATATCGGAGTCCCAAAATACTTCCAAACTGCCGACTTTTTCGACTTAGATGCAGGTGTAAAAGGGTAGGAGGTCCTATCAAATTATGGTCCTACTCTCCATTGATTTATATGGTGACCTAAATACAACTCTTTCCCTCATTATCTTATACACAATCAGGGCCAGTAAGGGCCGTTAAGAAAGGGGACCATAATCCCTGCGGGACCATCATTTCTTTCACACCGGCTCGATTTTTCAATTTCTTTCCTACATCCGGCATACTGATAATGCACTCGATTTGCGAACGACAATTAAGAAATGAGTCATTCATAGCCAATCAAAATCACCGTAATTTAAACAAACAACAACAGCCAATCGAAAGTCACGTTATATCTTGTGCTTCGGTACCAAACAAAAATATTTTGAAATGTTTTTCAATCTTCAACAAAAGTCATGAAATAAGCCGAAAACGCAGGGAATTCGGAGGATTTCCGGACTGATATGTAAGTTCTATTCATGGGCAATCTAACGAATGCCACAAATGTCTAGCAGGCCAAAATGTCTGGGTGTTTTTATCAAAACAAGCCATCTATAATTTTGTCAGGCCAATGGCCGATGTCGGACGTCTATTTCGCGCACTGTAACAACTAATGATTTACAGATCTATTCATTGTATCTATAACAAAGGCTTCTTAAAAGTGCTATTGATCACCGATCAGTCTTAACTCTGACCCTATATTACCCCAAATTTTATCAAAGCATATATATGACAAAATTTTGCCACCTAGTAAGTTATATTAAATGCCTAAATGGTTTGAAAAGTGAAACAATTGTTACAGATACTGATTGATTCGGAATTCCAACTGCTGTATGACTAGTATCCCATCAGTCTGAAAAAATTCTACTGATGGAAATATCTGGAAACAAACAACTATTTTTACAACAGCCTACAATATGCAGGGCTCTCGCCAGGCTTTTAGAATGTGGCGCAGCACCACACTCTATTTAGTTCCCTCCACACCCTATTGGCAAATCATGACAGAATATACAATAATAGCATGTAAAAAGGATAAAACATAATTTTCGATTTATCACGATTGAACGGTTCTTCTGAAGATGTTAGCACCACACCCTAAATATTTCCTGGTGACAGCCCTGAATATGTGACTTTTATATCACATATTCTTTCGATCTAATGAGCGCATATTGCAATTTTCATATTGAAATTTAAAAGGGTAAGATACACGCCTGGTGACTGGGAAAATGGGACGGAGAGGGGAAAGCGATTTCTGCAATCAAATCAACAAATATGGAAGATTTATTTTTTTAAGAGAAGGTTTACTACTGAATTGCTCAATGAATAGGCGCGCGGTATGGTAAAATATATTGGGTCTTCTAGGATTTTTTTTGAACCGATTCGCTTCTAAGATTAAGTTATGCCCCCCCCCCCCAGTTATGAGATCTGTTAAGGCACCACACAACCAACATGCACAAGTCTACAAAACCTGTAATAAATTCTTGTAACTTACAATGTAAGTGGAAAAAGTTATCATCAATTTTTTAGGGGCAAGGGGTACATGATTGACTAGTTGGTTTAAAAGATGTACGGTGCATATTTTAGCTATTTAGGACAATCGTGCGATGAAGAAGATTAGATAATGTGTGCTATAGCAAGGCCAGACTTCATTTGTAAACACACGCCATTCTTACCTCATAAGCATCAGTGATATTTATCATGGTTTTTGTTTCTGCAACACAACCTGCAATTCCAACACCAAATGGAACTTTTATTTCATTATCTGCAGTATGAATGGATTCTTGAATTGTTGAAGTCTGTGTCACATCAAAGAGTTTGGACACAAGGAAACGATTTTCCTTTGGACCCCTTGCAAGGAATAAGCTACCACGATCACATTTTGTCAGCATACTGACATTGACTAGAATTTTATGGCATAATACATTTACATCAAGCTCATTTGCAACATCTCTTATCAATTCCATGAACAGTTCTTTCTCGTTCATACTCTGAAGAGCCGAGATATCCTTCTGCACAGATATCTTTTTCGACCTCTTCCCCTCCACATAACTTTTGAACATGCATTGTGTTATGGAATTTCTGGCGCTACTATCATATTGGATAACAGGCTCATTAACTTTCAACTCATCAGATAATTCTGCCTTCAACTCAGGGCTTGCATTTTCTCTAATCCATTCTTTGAGAAAATGTGGATTTTTTTGCAAAAATTCCTCAACTTTTTTCTTTTCCTTCGACATATCGAGAGTAGGCCTATGTTTTTATGTATAAAACGTCTACATTCTCAAACAAAATCAGCATATTGTCTCTCCTCAGTTACTGTTGAATTGAACATATTTAATCCAGCTGCTATTGTCATGCTATACATTCAGAAAATGATGAACTAACGCAGAGAACATGTTGTTATTACTTTGCAAGTGGTTAGTGACGTCAAAATATAGCCTCGTTTTGAAACAAAATAGCAGACGACGAGGACCTTGACCTCGGTAATGTCAGGCTGACATGAAGGGGGCGTGGCATGTAAACAAACAGAGATATTCCGATTACAGCTCATGTAGCAGCTTGAACAAACTACATTCCCTGTCATAGGCCCGGGAACAGTCAAATTATGTAGCAACCAAATCTCAGAGCAACTTATCAACATCCAATATAACAGACACGGGAACAAGAGTTCACCCCCCACTCACTATGTATTTAGGTAGAACTTTTTTTTACATTAGCTATATTGTGACTGGGGGGGTTAATCTTCCAGGGCCTGTGTTCAATATGGTTGACATCTTCCTGAAACGATAGAGAGCCTAAATTTCATGACCAAGGAAGCTTAAGGTTGTCATTTAAATCTTATTTGCCAGGGAATGGTCTTGTGATTGGATGTAACTCTTGGTACAAGTTCTTATGCCAAAATAAAAGAGCAACACTGTCAAACACAAGGTTAGAAATCTACAAAGGTAGTCATCAAACAGTTCTCTCATGCAAAATCCACAGATTCTGGTAAAATTCGCAAGATTTTGGAACAAAACAACAAAACAAAAGTTCATCGACCTTGCTTGTTCTTGTTAGTATATTTAGCTAGCAGAATGTGTTTCACATCATCTGTATTTTTAGAATACATGTACTTACATTTATCTAGGTTGTTCACGAGACTGCACAAATTGACATCTTAACTGTGTGCCAGTTTGGGAAAAAACTTGAGATAAGCTGATGTGCTCCATGGGTGAATACAGTAGGGTAGGTAAATATGTGATTCACCATAAACACTACAGAATAATCACAGTGAATTGTGATTTGGATGCAGTTTTATGACCTACCTGTAAGTGATTTTTACCCCGAGAGTGTTATTTTTACCCAGATCGTGCGGAACAGATACCACTCGCATGTATCTAATATGATACTGTATATCCTGACATCTTTAATTGAGAAATAAGAGCAATAAGTAAAACATTGAAATAAAGTTTTATAAAATAACCCCCTTGAGAAAAGCTGGCTACGAGCCTTTTGCTATAATAGTAGTACGGCATTGTGAAACTCCAGCCCACTCAGCATTTGCCAAGGGGCGCTCACTTTTCAAAAAATTCCAAAAGGGTTCACATTTGACAACTTTGGCCCACTTAAAGTGCTCAGTATGGTGGGAAACTGCATGATTGTGAAAGACTTTTTTCAGGAGGGGGTCCTCCCAAAGACCACCCCCTGGCTACAGACCTGTAGAATTATCATTGGAAACTGTGAATGATATATTTGATACTTTGACTGTAAACATGTGCATAATAAAAAACACATAAGATAATTTAACAGCATTAAAAATTGGTGTTTATTTATATATAGGAGTTAACAAAAATATATATTGCATTATCAAAATGCAAACAACCAACATGAGAAACTGTGGAAAACCATATCCACTATCAGAAATGAAGTCTGAACATCCATATTTAAAATATTTTTTGTAATCAAAGGACCATTCAACAGTCCAAGTGACAGCAAAGACTATAGACTTGAAAGCTATCTATTCAAAAAGGTGCTACTGTAATCCTAATTTTATTTTCTGGAAAATGAGATTTCTTGTCAAATATAGGTTAACCCTTGCCCGATGTAAATATAAGAGGAAAATGTTGGCCCTGGTGACGGATAAGTAAGAGTGTTTTTTAGTGGAAAACTGCAAATTACCTCCATCCCGTGACCTATACCTTGAATTTTATCACTGAAATACAATTTTTAGTAATGATTACCACATTAGAACAACTTGTCAAAATTTGGAGTAAAAATACTGAATAGAACTGGAGATATTGCCATTTCATTAGCCTTGCCCAAGTTGGTTTCTTTTACTTATCTTGATTTCTATTATGACATGGTAATAATTCAAGATTCAAGATAAGTAAAAAAATACCGACTTGGGCAAGGCTACCTGAAAGGTATTACTTATGAATATTTAAAATGTAGGAATGTCTTGAAAAAGGCGAGTCCACTTTCTCAATCAATTTGCCTGATGAACTTAAACCTTAAACAGACCTTTAGTCTTTGCTGTCCTATTAACTACTAAAGGCTTTTTTATCCAATTCTCAGGATTTTCTGAAAAAGTTGTTAATCTTAAAGGATCTCAATAGCAGCTGGTCTTTTTGAATTTAAGAATGCTCATGCAGGCAGGCTAGTTGAGGTCATTTATGAAACAACTACTGTATTTGTCTTTAATTTGGCGCTATTTAATTTGAGAATTTTCTGTTTTTGGGCCTATTGGTGTCTCTTTAATTTGGCGGTTTTTCAAGTGTCTCAGACATCCTCCCATCCAACCCAATTCAAAATATTGAACAATTTGTCAATATTTCTTGCTGTTTCTATCCAGCCCAGCCATCTTGGTATCTTTCTTATAACATGAAGTGCACCAAATGAAAAACATGTCATATTCCCAGGGATTTTGGCGACTATATGATTTGGCGATTTTTTTAATTTGCCAATTTAAAACTCTTGTCAAATTAAAGACAAACACAATATTATAAGTGAAACATTCCTGTTGTGAAATTGTTTACACATTCAATCTAAATTATAAAAAGACCAACATAAGTCTCAAACATGAAACAACCACACTTCATAGTTAAAGTTATTACTTTATAAAACCATTTTAATTATATTCTTAGGATCAATATGAGATTCATCATGACATAAATATTTTATGATTGAACCCATATAATAAAATCAAGACACTTAATAGGATCAATAATGTACAGTAAAACCTGTCTGTGTGAACATCTCTTTCTACTGAACACCCTTCCTCCACACAACGCTGAAAATATTTCTTGCAAAAATGTTCAACATACACAGGTTTTACTATATATCTTATTAGTCTGCTTATATATAGTATTTATATATATCAGATCTTTCTTTGCCCTGGGAATTCTAATTAGATTTGTACTTCTTGTGCTATGTGTATATACATTTCTTATATATTGTGGTAGCAAGAACTCGAACAGACATTGTTTACGTTTGTTATATATCATTTTACAGAACAAAGTAAGCTTACGGATTTTTTACTATTTCCTGTTTTCAAACTAATATCATTGGGTGTACATATATAATTTTTTGTTTTAAGGTTCTAATAATAAGCTTGTAGCAACAAATATCAATGAGGCTACTACAAAATAATACTGTAGTAGTTCAACTCTGATATTGCATCCACCCCTAAAAAAATTGCTTATTTTGCAACCTAAAACAACAGTTCTCAATAAATGTGATGTAGAAGGTCCTGTATAGAAGCCTGGTTAATCTTGTTTGTATGCAGGACTATACAAAGTGTTATTTTTAACATGACCAAGTCCCTTTAAAGAACCCATAAATAACTACTTCCCACATGTTCAACATGTTGCACGTGTACATATATATATAAGTCAGGTGATAAGTGCACTTGCTTAAATACATTAGTCTCATTATTTATAATTCTATATTACACTAAATCACTTCAAATTATGGTAGAATTTTACATTTTTAAAATACCTTAATTCCTTTAACATACAGTACACACATTTTTTTTTACTTTAATGAAATCAGTCAACAGGCTACACTAAATAACAATTTAAAAATAGAATACATCTTACACTTTTAACTTTTATGGAAGTGTTTAGAAATCTACAAACTGAAAGACTTTACAGGGTTGCAAAGACCCTTTCAAGGTAGACTAAAACCTGTTTTAGACAAATCTTCTCCTACGTAGTAATAAATCACATTTCCCTGTCAAATATAGTACAGTAAGACATGTTATATGAAAACCCTTGACGTTCATATTGTCAATAAAGTAAAATGCAACAAATGATTCGTTGTCTTTATTGAGATTTCATCACTCATCTAAGGACAAATGGTGGCTCCACCTTTAACAGTAAGTATGCTGACTGTGAACTTATGTAACATGTTTTAGCCCATTAGATAGCTACTTGACAAAACTTTGAACTTAGCATTGTGACCTTCCTCAGAATTAAGGTTCAAAGACTGTAATTTCACATTTAGAGATTCCTATGATATGAGTTAACGGGGCATTCAAAAACTGAAAAAGGTTGATATTTTGATGATTTCACTCTCGACATCACAAAAACAAGTTTTACTGCAGATTATTTCATCAGCAATCAATGGTTACATGGATTTAGAATTATAAATGAAATACAGTCTTTCAAATCAATTATTCTGTTTAAATAATATACAGTGGGGAGGAAAACATTTGACAAATTTTGATTTCTACTGCAACTTTTTTTGTTCGAAACACATCTTAAACACAAATATTACATGCTATACATGTACTATACACACAGTACGTGATGTAAAATATATCACAGAGATTCTATATATAGATTCATCTTTAAAATATCAAATATACATTAAAACAAAAATAATAACAGTGTCAAAATGTCAAATTATTGTACTTGTACTTCATTTGTAAATTTTGTAATTTTGACCACACAAAATAAAGTCACATTGATTAGAACGCCAATGAGTTCAAGTAAATATACATAAAGATTGGCAATTTTTTCACATCACCAAAATGAAGAATAAAAATATAATGAATAAATAATTTTTTCAAAAGCACTGGTCCCCATCTAGATAGGACTGTTCTGCAACAGCTGATATTTAGATAATTCATCACTCTCCTCTTTCATCCTTTAAGAAGTCAAGTTACATTCTCATATTTAGCTAAAAAAGCTAGCAGCAATATTTACTTGAAAAATATCACCCAGTTTCCAGTTCAAATCAGAAAATACAATTTTATTTCTTCATACTGTTCCAAGAATGCAACTTTAACAAAGTCGCAAGACTTTTCCACTTAGCTTTAGAAAATAAGTGAAATGAAAAATGCTCGTGTACTGGAAGCCCATCCGTGATGCTGCTTGAATGACCCATATCCTTGTAAATAAGTGGAGACCAGTGAAAAGAGAGACCTGTTTATAATTTCTCAGATACTTTTTCTGTAAATATCTTTTTTCCATCCCATACATCCTGTAAATATTTCTCCACTGATTTTTGAATCAGCTCATCTGATTTTTGAATAGCAATTTGGATTGCATTCCCATTAATCACTGGTGTCTCGTCAATTAATATTCATCACTGGATTTCATAACTTAATTGGACAGACAGGGGGATTAAAATCCCCAAATACATTCATTTCAAATAATGATGCAAAAACTAGGAAAACGAAATAAGCCACCATGAGTATAGCTCCATATAGTTTTGTCAATCTCCAACCATTCAAATAAGTTACAAGTAGTAGGAAGATTACAGTGGAGAACAATGCTATGGAGGAGTAGACCAGACCTGAAAATAAACAACAATATTCTCCTAATCTTAAATATTTAGTACATGTATACACAGGCTAGTATCGAAAGATTTGTCTGCTGTGACAAGGTATTAATGAGATATTGGTGTATTGGGTCTTGTCATTTTTTTACAAAAAAATTATGTTAAATTTTTTTGTAAGCTGTGACAGAGCAGTTGCAAAAGTGAACTGTGAAACTGCTCCGTCGCAGCAGACAAAAAATTTGAACATTATTTCTTTATAAAAAATTAAAAAGACCCAATACATCCAGATCTCATGAATACATTCAGAGTTACAGTTATGTTAAAAACATATGTAAATATTTTAGTGTCACTATATCATGCCATTAAAAAGTTAAAAAGAAATGGCACATTTTGGAGTATCATACTCTGGCGCCGTTTTCAATAGCTTTTACTGATAGCATTATTGGACTTCAAACAGAAGTGAAAGTTACCCGCAAATTATATATCCATTGCATTGAGTAAGTAATTTTATTTGATATAACGAAGCATGTGAGTTAAAAACTAAATTTTGGAAGTATTCTTAGTGTTCTTATGAAAAATAGCATGCTCCGTCACAGCGGACAAATCTTTCGATAACAGCCTTTGGTATATGTTAATATGATAACCAAGCCATCCAGGGTAAAAGAGCAGTTATAAATGCACAATTTTATTGACAATAATAAACATGGATCTGGTTTTGCAGATTCAGGTAAATGCCGTTGTGTTATGTCACGATCATTACAATGTTAAAGTATCATTTTTGTATCTATAGGGATTTTAAATCCAGGTTGCCATATAAAGATCATTTATTGTATGTTCAAATCAATTCATGCCATTCCAGATGAAGCTACAGTGGCCATCATGTAAAAGAAGAAAATGACTGAGTGCTAAAGGCTACTTAAGTTGAATTCAATCATTTACTATCTTTGATATTTTACGTCATAAGCTTTACCTACCATCGCTAAATACAACAATTGGGCTTTGTTGAATGATTGACTTCAGAAACCATGGTAATCCAAGGCACAGCAGAATATCAAAGACATTGCTACCTATTGCATTAGACACAGCCATGTCCCCAAACCCTAAAACAAAACAAAGATATCTTGTGAAGTACTTTTACATATGTGCACAGAATTTCAGTCTTATATTTCACACCACTTATCTAACTGAACGTCTTAAACAATACATCATTTCCTAAGTTAAAAAACACCTCATTTATAGTGTAACAGTGGGTACTATAGAATTGGTGAATAACTTACCATCTTTGACAACAAGAAGGCTGGATATGGCGTCTGGTACACTAGCCCCTGCTGCTATAAATGTAAGCCCCATAATGGAATCTGGGATACTTATCGTATGACCTACAATACAAAATAGAAGGCTGTAAATACTGTATTAATTTAACAGTATTGTAACTAAAAGGAGCATTTACATTCTTGGAAAGATGATGGCAAAATTGCACTTTTCAAAGTGCGATTAAAAGGAGAACATATTATGATGATGTCATATATACTACAGAACTTCTGCATTGCTAATTACCTCTCGAATACGAACACCTCTCAATGTGAACACTTTTCTCAGACCTATCCTGTTATCTCCCATCAATTCACAAGTTACAAAACATTGAAGCATACCTGCTGATCCAAACACTTTTGGCCATTCCCAAAAGCATTTTGGATTAAACAGGTTTTGCTGTATTTCACTTCACATACATATTTTGTACTTTGATGGAATTACAAAAAAGAACTTACCAATAACTGTTATCATCCAGACCATTACATAAGAAAACAGACCAGTCCATATACATGCCATTAAAAATGTCAGAAGATACCACTTTTTCCAGCGTTCCTAAAACAAAAAACAATGATTAACATAAATAAAGTAATAATATAATATATATACAGGGTGGGCCAAAAAAAACGCCACTTTTTTCAAAATGCTACAACTTTTTTAATTTTTGATATTAAATCATAATTTGAATACCAAATGAAACTTGAGGTTGTTATCTAGCCATGGAGCATAAATTATACACTTTTACTTGAATAAAATATGTCACCAGCGTCTCACTTAAACATGTGGTGTGCCATGAGAAATAAGCATAATTTGCAAAATGTTCCTGAACTGATACGGCCTGATGATCGCCGAGCTAATAGCCTCGATGCAAACTCCAGTGAGTATAAGGTATGGGAAGGTCTCCAGGAGATTGTATGAAGGCACCAAATCTAGAAAATTGCTCAACTAAAGGTTGAAAAAAACTTAGCTTACATTTCATTAACATTGCAATATCAGCAAGGCGGCTAAAACTAAAATATGTCATCAATTAGGGAGGCGGACCATTTGAACTCCCCTTGGAAAGGGTTGGAAAATAAAAAAGTTGTAGTGTCTTGAAAAAAGTGGCGTTTTTTTTGGCCCACCCTGTATATAATATAAAATATATAATATAATAAAAAGGACTGAATAAAGCATATGCTGTCAATGACATGACATCATTAACAAAGGCAAAGATCCTTTTTACAGCGTTTGATAGCAAGGGAAAAGTACCTGCCATCATTAAGTGTTTTCGGTAAACTTAGCAGATACATATGTTCTAGGAACAAATTGTTTTGAGATATCTGATTAGACTAGGCCTCCAAATATTTTTACCATCTGACCCTCCCATTCTAAACATCCAACAGCCACATTTTACTTACTTTTCTGCAGTCTGGAATGGTAATGAAGAGCAACGCAATGAGTGGTAGAGAGATGACCCAGAGAGCCTTTCTCCAGCAGCCTTTAGGGGGGAGGAATGGAGACTCCACTTCCTCTTCTAGGTGCGTCTTCACTACAATTGTAATAAACAGTTATATAGACAAGTTCCTTCATTTTTATACCACCAATGGCTGTTTAATGTTGCTCTTTCCTTGAAAGATGACCCTGCCTTTGTATTGTTGCTACTGCCTTTAGTTCCACATTATTCATTGTATGACATGAGTTCAGAAGTACATTTATATTGCTCGTTAAACAAAACATACAACTGTATGATAGCAAAGGCACTTGTGTTTTGAGCATAACTCTCGGAGGTGTTTGAGAATTTCCTTCAATAGAGGAGTGGCTACATAAAGCAGGGGTTTTGGTCAGGTCATTATTATCTCATTAAAAATGAGACTTTAACAAGATTTTAAAGCTTTATGGTAAAGCTTCTACTGATCCAATTATTCAAGGGGGCTTTGGACCATCTACATTAATCAAAATTCCAACTAAAAAATAGACTCATGAAACTCAAAAATAAAAATAAAATTTCAAAAATAAAATTTGAAATTAAAAGATGGCAGCCTAAAATATACAGATTTTTCCACAACACATCTTTCAATCAAAATTAATATAATCTGGGATGTGCTAAAATTGAGAAATTTTACAAGTAAATTTTCTATTAATTACAATACAAACCTATTCCATGACATATGCTAATACCCCTAATTTGGAAAAATGGGCAAGTCCAAAAACAACAGGATAACCTGAATCCCTCTAGGTCAACTGACCTAACACCCCTTTATATGCTATAACTTCATAATTGTACGCAGTAAAACTTAAAAATACTGCGGGGAGGCCGGATGGGCCTATGGTCAGCTACACATCTGGGAGACTGTATGTCCTTTCACAGTGAGTATCCTTACCCATCTAAGGGTTGCGAATAACTCCTATGAACAGAACTGGTTAGCCAAGGATGGGCCGTTTAACCAAACGAGGCAACCTTGTAGTTCTTCAAAGGTCCAGGTCACAAGCTGGTTGAGTTGAACCCTTCTGCAAAACAGTTCCACTTACACAAGAACTGGATAGACAAGGAATGGCTGTGTACAAGATAAAGACAAACCAAGTCCACCCAGTATTACTTCCAATCACCAGACTACAGTGCAATACTGAGTTGGTAACAAGTTGCAGAGTACTTAAAGTTGTATATAGTTCTTGAAGCTGTAGACCCACCTGCAGCTTGGATGAGATATACAAGAGTTAATCCAAGCCATTGTTGTAGTTCTTGTCAGTGTAGACAAAGGCATCATCCTTTCATCCATTGGAATTCTAGGAAACTGCCGATAAATCAACTACCATGAGTCACAGCACAGGGTCCTAAAGGAACCAGTCTTGCATACAAAGTGAGGTGGAACACACTACATGTGTCTTGTCACTGCTCTCAGAGTTGGTTGTTAGTTGAATAAACATCAAGTCTGGACCAGCGATGATCATAAGGCCGTTTCAGCCAACTTGTAGAATGGTTTAACGACAAAGAACAATACCACTACACATCTGCTAAGTGCTTCTTGTCTTTTGGATCCATAACAAAATTACATGGAGCAAGACACCTCCGTAGACCCAGCCAGTCGAGGTTGGTACAGTCATCAGATAACTACAAGGATAAGTCAAACCATCTTCTTTGTAGTACCAATTAGTATTCATCATAGAACAGATCAACCATTACTGCTGACCTGGGCAAGAAGAGACATCTTCCATCTGGCCAAAACAAGTTGTTCAATGGACAAACTAGTGCATCTAGACAGTCTATCCATCTGTATAAAAACTGTAACACAGCTACCCTAGTAGACACAGTGGCACATCAAGCACAAAGTAGTACAGCATAGAGGTCCATACTTATCTATAAAGGATTAGTATGGAGATGAATCTAAAGGTGGTTGGAAACAAGCTTGCATTTGTTGGTAAACTTCTTAGACATCTTTAAGATGAGGATATCACTGTTATGATTGTCTATAGTGGCCATAGCATAACAAAGTATTCTACTGCCATCAAAGCACTGGTAAGTGTTGTTCCCACAAAGAGCTTGGCTTGGAATGCAACCTTCAATTGTTGTATTCGGCATCGTAGTTGATAAACTATTGGATTGTGGTTAGAACATCCATCTGTCCAGGTTGTAAACAGCAAACATCATAGCTAGTGCTGCATATTGACAGAATACTGCAGAAGAATTCAGAAACTCACTGGATCAACAAAATTCTTGGCCTGGAACCAAAAACTTTAAATGTTCTTCGCAGGCTTGCAAAAGACAGACTAGTGGTATCTTCAATGGATAGTACATCTATCTGTCTTAAGAGTATAACAGCATTGAACGTAGATACTGCTACAAAAGGAAGCACTACTAGTATAGTATGAGAGTATAGTAGTGCTAGATCCACCAAAATCTGTGTCCAAAAACGTAACCTTTAAATTCATCCAGGTTTGTAGTTGGCAGCACTGGTTGACAAGAATAGTCAGCTTTTCTCCCGGGTCTGTCTAAAGCTACCAAGAGCATACATCATGGATGTAGGTGTATTGGAACACTACAGTATGTAGTAAGGTAGTGCTGGATCCACAAAGTTCTTGACTTGGAGCATAACCTTTGTAGATCAAATTTGGCTTGGAGTTGAAACTCTAGTATCAACAGGATATACATCAGGCCCGCATGATCATCGAAGTACTACTGCATGTGTCTACCAGTCAATGTTGGATCCATACAACACTTGGTCCAAGAACATTACTTTTCAGTAGTCTTAAGCCAAACTTGCAGTTGCTCAAGGGAAAAAACTATATCATAAAACATGATAAGTTTATCCAATGGTTAAAACTTCCAGCCTTTTACTAGTTAAATAGTAGTATAAGTACTATGAACTAGTAATAATATAAAACCAAATGAAGTCTGGACTGGAGTGAAACCTAAAGCAAACCAGGCCCAAAAAGCCCGAGATTAATTCCACAAATAAAGTGACTTGTAGTTTCTCAATGGAAAAAACGATATCATAAAACATGATTAGTTTATCCAATTGGTTAATTCTACCAGCCTGTTTTAGTTAAGTAGTAGTATACGTACTATGAACATGAACTAGTAATAAAATAAGACCAAAAGGAGTCTGGAAGTGGAGTGATACCTGAAGGCAATCCAGGCCCAAAGACCACAAAGATGAATTCCACAATAAAAGTGACTCGCATTTTCTCAGGGGAAAATACTATATCAAAAGAAACATGGTCAGTTTATCCAAGTGGTTAAAACTACCATGCTTTTACTAGTTAAAAAGTAGTATTAGTACTATGAACATGAACTAGTAAAAATATAAGACCAAATGAAGTCTGGAACTGGAGTGAAACCTTAAGGCAATCCAGGCCCGAAAACCACAAAGGCAACTTTCACAATCGAAGGGATGTGTTTTCAATATTAGATGAAAACCACCTTGTTTGAAAATAATAACCAATCACGAATGAATAAGTAATATGGTTATGAATAAGAAAGACAAAGAAAGAAAACAGGCTCCAGATAATAAAAATGAGAGCCCATCACTTAGAAGCATGTTTAAAACACAAGATTCATAGTATAAAGAACCTGAACCGATGCGTAGAATCCTCTCTTCTACTGTTGATTGAATAAAATAAAATTATATTTCAATCAATTGACTCATGATCTGATCAATTTAAGACAAGATTCAAACATGTGTGAAGGTACACCACTTATAAAGAAACATATAGTTACTTAGAAAATATGCATGAAACCAATCAATACCAGAAAAGGAGTGATTGATAAGTAGCTGTTCAAAAGTATGAAGCATATTTTAAGGTGAGCCACTCCATAAAAAATTGTGGTTAGGGTAAAACTAACCAAAAGATTCTAAGACATAGAGTGGATCTGAGATATGTAGATAAACAATAATGTAGATCTCCATAAAGAGACACAAAAGTACAAACAAACAAAAACAAAAAACTTAGTAAAAATTATCCTTGTAAAATTGAAAATAATGAAACAAGATTTGAAAACCAAGATATCCAAAATGATTGTAGAACAAACATCCTATGCCCTGGTATAAATAAAGAATGAATATGTTGTGACCAGAAGGCATTAATGAGCCATTAAATGTATCTTAAAGTAAGGCTTCTGTAAACTAACTAATTTTACACGAATGTAAAATTAGACCTAAAATTAGTTGATGAATAAGAAATACAAAAGTAATTTGCTGAGTGTATCTGTAAGCAGAAAACAAACAGAACATAGAAAACAAGTGATGTGAAGAGTAGCAAGTGAATGAAACGTTCACATCTCTTAAAATGTCAAAAAACTAATATTTTAAATTAATTGACTGCTAAACCACACAATTCCATAAGGTGCTGGAACCAAGAACCCTACAAAGGGTGTAAAGTGATTGTGAATAAAGATGAGAATTAACTACATCTAGGAACAATGCAGATTCAATCCAACTGAAAAATATGTTATCTAGTCAAGCTAGTTACTAAACTAGAAACAAAGTTAAGACTAATTCTATACTGTACGTTACGTTATATTACGTTACATTAACAAAACCAATTTTTCTAATTTAGGACAAGCTTTGGCTTGTGGTCGCTACAGCTTTATTGTGCATATTGCGAGTACATAATTATGACGTCTGCTGATATAATTTTGCCCGATACATTTTGTAATTCACATTTCGTGTTATGTTAAGATTTATCCGATTGATATTAAGGTGGTTGGTCACCATTAAAACCAAAGACGCTACTCGACTGAAGTCGATGCCCCTTGGAAAGGTATGTAACCACCTCTCAACCTATCAGGATATCTAAAATAAACTCTACTCGAACTAAAGATTGTCAAGAAATTTTAATTAAAATTTTGGAATTTAGTGTTGCGCGACCAAGCCCAGAATGAAAACCTACTACTCACTCTAGAGATCAATACTCCTCAAAAACAGTCGCTCTAAACGAACACGACTTTCTTGTCTTATTTCACTTCACTTCACTTCACTGCACATTAAAGAAAGTATTTATATTCTTAAATCGCTACGCTCAAACGAATATAAATTATCATTCCCGACTAAT